CTTCATTTTTGTCAGGAAATCTTATGCATCCACTGAAAGAGAGAGAGAGAGAAAAACTCCTCTACACTGGAGCATTAGTGAGTGCACACATATTAATGCAATGTCTGTTTCATTCTGGTAGCCGGAGGGCACCCTCCCGCAGTAAATCCATAAGTGAACAACTCATAGAAGTCTTAAATCATAGGACGTTCCAGGAAATCCCTAATATGGACAAAGGCATAAGCTATCACTAAAAGCAAGTAGACACATTTTAACTGATGACATACGTAGACAATAATTGCGACTAAATGGTTTATCTGTGTTCTTCAAGCCATCTCAGGTATTTTTATATGAACTAAGTATATTTATAATGCAATGCTAATCAACATTGCCTTTATCACTGTATAGAATACTAAAAATAATGATTTTGCCCTGTTCTGTGATATGAAACCACGTCAGCTCACAAAAGGAAGTTATTTCAAACACTCGACTGATGTTATTAAATGAATTTGGAGCAAAAGCAAGTCATTAACCGTGCGTTTAACATATATGTCGCACTGTACAGAACAGGTGCGTCATCCATAGATACGTACACTCTTAAAAATAAAGGTGCTTCACGATGCCATAGAAGAACCTTTTTGTCTAAATGGTTCCATAAAGAACCTTTAACATCTGAAGAACCTTTCTGTTTCACAAAAGGTTCTTTGTGGCGAAAGAAGGTTCTTCAGATTATAAAAAGGCAAAAAAGAGATGGTTCTTTAAAGAACCTTTGACTGAATGGTTCTTTGTGGAACCAAAAACGGTTCTTCTATGGCATCGCTTGAAGAACCTTTTGAAGCACCTTTATTTTTAAGAGTATAGTCAGAAGGCGGGTTCGGCTTAAAGCAGCGCTGTGCAGACCAATCTCTGTTTTGACAAGTACCACGAGAGCGATTCAAAAGCAGAAGAGTCGTCTGCTCTCCAATTTAATGTCTTTGATGTCATACGCTGATCGGTCTGCGCAGCGCAGATGCATCTCGAACAAGCCTAATCAGAAATTGAATTGACAACCTCGTGGCCGTGGGGCCCTCCCCTTAAGGCGGGGCCCCAGGCAACCGCCTGTACCGCCTGTTGGACGGGCCGGCACTGCAAATAGGCCAATCTCCTCATACACAACATGTAGGCCTATGACAATTTAGTTTTTACTGGATTTTTCTTGTAATTGTAGCTGGGTCTGGGCCAGGAGGATACATTTGGGCTGATTTATTTGATTTTCAATTTTTCGTCATTGGCATATTATAATGCACTCATTTGTACAATGTGCATGTATGGCACAGTTATGCTTATTAACCTTTCTCTTTCTCCAGGCATTGACTCGTTACTCATTGATCTTACAGATGCACGAATGAGGCCATTAATTTTCACTGTTTCCCCTTGTAATTAATTGTGAAGACTGAGAGCTCTGCAGTGGTTATGTGAAGGTGTAAATCCTGAGGCTCAGAGTATTTTTAGATAAGGGACACATGCTTAAACGCACAATTTCCCATCTCCATTGAGTATATGACATTGCCCCCGAATGGCACACTTGATGTGTACTTGTGGGCTTACCATGGTTGTCAAATGTTCCGTTTGTTCATTATGTCACCAAATATGGAACAAAGGCTTCATGGGTGTCTGTGACAGAGGTTAAAGCTCTGGTCTGTAAGAAATGCTGCAGCCCAACCTGCCTAGAGACTGACATATATGTCCCCCATTAGATCCAGACTGTTTATTTTGAAGCTTTTGCTGGAGGGTTTAAACCTCCACCAGTTTTGAGTACAGTATCTGGTACGTGGTGTACTTACATGTGCAATGTTATCAGTCACGCTCTGGTAACGTCCTTCTGTCTGCAGGCGTCACTCAGTGGACGTTCGGGTTACGCACTGGCTGAAGGATTGTTGCTACTGATTTATTTGGAAGAGTATGAGTATGAAGTTCAGTAAAGTTAAAAGGCAAATGTATCATCTAGACACCCTCAAGAGTGTCTGTGGGGTTAGATGGCAGATAAAAGGATCCATACACATGATACACAGCAGGGTTCTTGTTGTGGTGTGAAACAGATGACACAGGTCTCCTCAGACCGGTTTAGTGTTAGTTACAGCAACCATCACCTGGAATTAATAGGTATTGGAGGCCACAGAGAGCGTTTAAACGACGCCAGGATGGGTTTAAGTTGTCTGGCCTAGATCCTCTCAGGCGTGTGGTTTTGATTTTGATTTTTCATTGAGCTGTAAACAGGACAGTCAGGGTACAAAGGCACACTCAGAAAACCGCATGCGTACATTTCAATCAGACGTATAGCAGAATCTGCCTTGTTCATCACGATCTGATCAAGAACTGGTTCAGGCTAACAGTGTCCGCTTACCGAAATGCTGCAATTATACACAGTTCAGACGTCAGGCTGTTTGTTTGGGCTGGAACATTGTGTAATGGAACCGTGATATAATCAGAAATCATGTTTAAAGCCCTGAAACACAGCAAATGGAGATGCAATTTTATAATTCAATCAATTAAGTATTGAACAACTGAGTTTCAACTGTATGAAACCATTTAATTCATGAAACATTAATGTAGCCTACTAAACAAATGTTTGTAATTGCGTATTTTATTCCCAAAATCAAATGATCACTTTTCCCATTGTGGTATTTTAACCACGTTTCACCCTCACAGGCCACTAGAGAGAGCCATAGAGGAGGATTTCAAGTATTGAGTCTATGCAAGCATACAACTTCTGTGGTAAAATACGGTGACCGTGATTTCACCAAGTACATGTTCCTGGATCAACATTCCTATCAACCAATCAGAATTGAGGGATAACTTTTCAGGAAATATCTGTTTTAGGCTTACAATCAGGGTTAGGTGCTTCTACCCTTGTTAATCAGCTATCATTTCACACTGATTTTAGGAATAAATTATGGGTAGGGTTAGGTTTAGGGGTAGGGATTGGGTTAAGTCTATATTTTTGGACAGTTATGTTGATCCAGGAACATGTCTTACTTGGCAAAATCACGGCGACCGGTAAAATAACACAGCTTACTGCCTGAGATACTATATCTCACATATTTTCAGTGTGATGATTTAACATTCTTTTTGACTCATTATTTGATCTAACTGTCGAATGTTAAGACATTTTTACACAAAAAATGGCCAAAAAGCAAAATATATATTTTTATTGCCAAAAACAGGATGTCTGTCATTAAATTAAACATGCAAAGTGACACGGTCATGCAACAGCACACAATTTTCTGTATTGTTGTCATCTTTTTTTAAAACAACAGTAGATACAATTGTATTTTTTAAAGCTGCAGTCTGTAACTTTTTTTGGTTAAAAATGATCCAAAATCAATATTTGAGCAAGTACATAACCAGCCAATGTTCAAAACTATCACCTTACTTTAGCCCGGTTCACAACGGTTAGCTTATAAATTCATGCATTTTGCAGACGCTTTTATCCAAAGCGACTTACAGTGCATTCAGGCTATACATTTTTTTATCAGTATGTGTGTTCCCTGGGAATTGAACCCATGACCTTTGCGCTGCTAACACAATGCTCTACCACTGAGCCACAGGAACATTATAATAATGTTATCTAATTTGAGTGGTGCGGGAAATTCAAGCATGGCACTGCGTCATTACGTCACGTCTGTAAACATAAAGAAGTTATCCCGGCTACTAGGCCAGGGGTGTCCAAACTCCGTCCTGGAGGGCCGGTGTCCTGTAGAGTTGTGCCTCAACACACCTGCTGGGAAGTTTCTAGTATGCCTAGTAAGACCTTGATTAGCTGGTTCAGGTGTGTTTGATTAGGGTTAGAGCTAAACTCTGCAGGACACCGGCCCTCCAGGACCGAGTTTGGGCACCCCTGTACTAGGCTATCGCATGTGAGGATCCTGCAGGTGGCCGATCGTTTATAGCCTTTTCTCACAGCAGCCGGAATAATTAAATGTATCATTTCGATGGCGGATTGTAATCCAGAAAGGATTATGTGTTTATGAAACACATGTGAATAAAATTAAATGATATTCCAGTTATAAATGTGCTTCTGGTTACAGATAGCCTGGGATTACAAAGATTTGTATTTTAAAGAAAACCAGTTCGAAGGGAGCATAATTAGCTTTTTGGGTTAAAAGAATGTCTTAATATGAAATTCGAAGAGTATGACAATTAGATTAGACTGTGTAGAAATTTAAATCTACACGCTAATACACACTATAGTCACCAATGCTGATGTTGTTAACATTAATCATTTGAGAATAAAGTATAACAATAATAATAGTTTGAACGGTTTGATGTGATATGAGCTAACCGATCTTTAGATTTAATCACCATTGGTAGCGAGATTTATGGTAATGCTTTTTACCTCAGTTGGTCAGAACAAACGTGGCAGACTTGTTTCTTACTTGTTCAGATGGCAATATACAGTGAAAATTCTTATTTGGGTCATATTCCAAGACGTAGGCTAGAATCTGTGATTGCAAAGTACAGTAAATATCCACACCGGTGTGGTGACTGACTGCCACACATACTCTTCCGAACATTAGATTCATCTGCGCCGGAGCACAACCCACGCAAGGAAGATAATTCCGCTCACAGCTGCAATTCTGACAAAGAGGCAAAATTTACAGACTACAGCTTTAAATAAAATGATATTTTTGTACTTCATTTGTAACCTCAAGAGAAAGAAAGAAAAAAAATACTTTAAAATACCATCTATAAACATTTCATGACATGCTTTTGCAATTCACTGAACTCTTCTTGGGGCAGCAGATATTTCCGGATGATGTCTTGGACTCTGTCCTCAGTGACTGTCTCATAGTCTTCTCTGTTTTTGAAGGGAAGGTGTCCGGCGAGCTCACACAGGGCAACGTTGAAGGCAGACTCTTCTTTGGCCCCAAAACAGGACAGCCGGGGCCATACGAGGACTGCAGCTTTAAATAAAATGATATTTTTGGACTTCATTTGTAACCTCAAGAGAAAGAAAGAAAAAAAATACTTTAAAATGCCATCTATAAACATTTCATGACATGCTTTTGCAATTCACTGAACTCTTCTTGGGGCAGCAGATATTTCCGGATGATGTCTTGGACTCTGTCCTCAGTGACTGTCTCATAGTCTTCTCTGTTTTTGAAGGGAAGGTGTCCAGCGAGCTCACACAGGGCAACGTTGAAGGCAGACTCTTCTTTGGCCCCAAAACAGGACAGCCGGGGCCATACGATAACCCTCACCCCGTTTCGAGAAGAAGACGGGTCACGCTCCTTCTGTGGAGGGCAACCTCGGGTGATGATCATAGTATCAGTGAGACTGCAAACTGCATTGACTGTCAAATCCAGGTCTGAACCCTGGGTGTAGAACAGAAAGCCTACTGGGAAGTCCAGAAGGCGATACAAGTTTTTTTTAGGCAGGATCGGTTCTGCAGGGGAGGTTTCAATCCTCAGTTGGTGGTTTAGGTAGTAGCCATGAAGATGGAGATGGTTGACTGAAGCAAAACCAGCCAGGCTGTTGAAACCAACTCTGAATCCCGGATCAGCGCTCAGCAGAACCGTTTCTATCCCCATCTGGACCGCCAAAGGTGTCAGTATCTGAGGGTGACACCTGTCCGGTTCTGGTACGAGCAAACAGTGACCGAATTCTAACGGACTTACATTTATTATGACTTTGCAGTTCCTTTTTGAACCATTTCGATGGCATCTGGCTTCACATGAGCTTTCGCTTTCTTTCAGTAATTCAAGCAGCAGCTCTTTTGGGTTGATCTTGTTGAAATTGAACTGCTTCGGGTCAAAGTTCTGCCGGACGCTCAGGATCTCCTGAGGTTTTCGTCTCTTGGTGCCCCTCATGATGTTCAGCTGAGCGATGTAGCTACACGGACCAGGGAGGATGCGTGTCTCCAGATCGTCCAGATGGTACCAGAACAGCCCGGCGTTCCTCTTCTCAGTCCAGCGGGACCGCAGCGCGATGTCAAATCTCAACCTGGTCTGCTGGCCAGAACAAACATCATTTATAAAGTCCTTGTTAGTGTAGGTGAAAACGGTTGAATCAACCATTGTTACATTATACACACTGTTTTCTACGGTGGCCGAGAGGTGCAGAACAAATCACAATTCTGAAAACAAAATAACCAATTACAAACGCAAATGCAAGTCTACAAAACACAACAACAATTCAGAAAACATTATAACAAGTTATGACTTTGCAGTTCCTTTTTGAACCATTTCGATGGCATCTGGCTTCACACGAGCTTTCGCTTTCTTTCAGTAATTCAAGCAGCAGCTCTTTTGGGTTGATCTTGTTGAAATTGAACTGCTTCGGGTCAAAGTTCTGCCGGACGCTCAGGATCTCCTGAGGTTTTCGTCTCTCGGTGCCCCTCATGATGTTCAGCTGAGCGATGTAGCTACACGGACCAGGGAGGATGCGTGTCTCCAGATCGTCCAGATGGTACCAGAACAGCCCGGCGTTCCTCTTCTCAGTCCAGCGGGACCGCAGCGCGATGTCAAATCTCAACCTGGTCTGCTGGCCAGAACAAACATCATTTATAAAGTCCTTGTTAGTGTAGGTGAAACCGGTTGAATCAACCATTGTTACATTATACACACTGTTTTCTACGGTGGCCGAGAGGTGCAGAACAAATCACAATTCTGAAAACAAAATAACCAATTACAAACGCAAATGCAAGTCTACAAAACACAACAACAATTCAGAAAACATTATAACAAGTCAGAAAACACAATGACAAATTCGAAAACAAAATAACAAGTCAGAGTAGTTTTCCCATTCAAATAACGCCAACGTGTACGAGAATGATACTGCAGCTCATGCCTGCATTGAACGTGTCTGATTGGTCACGGAGAGTCATGTGATGTGTGATTGGATTCTATGGAAAGTGAGAGCGCTCGTGCTGTTTGTAGTTCTATTTTTGTTTCGCTTTATCCATTTTAATTTGTAATATACACTGCCCTTCGAATGTTTAGGTCAGTTTTTTTTAATTACCTTTATTAAGCAAGCACGCATTAAAGTAATCAAGAGTGACAATAAAGACCTTTAATAATGTTACAACAATTATATTCTATTTTATTTCAAATAAAAACGAACTCTGTTCATCAAAGAATCCCGAAAACACAGTTAACACAGAACTGTTTTCATCAACATTGATAATAATAAGTTTAAATTGATATTTCTTGAGCAGAAAATCAGTATATCAGAATTATTTTTGACGGCGTCAGACTGGAGTAATGATGCAGAAAATTCATTTTAAAATATATTCAAAGAGTAATACTTTAAATTGCAAAAACATATCACAATCTTATGGTGTTTGCTGTATTTATCAAACAAATTCTGCCTTAGTAAATATGAGACTTAAAAAAAAAACATTAAAAAATGTTATGAACCTCAAACTTTTTAGTTTTCCCATTCAAATAACGCCAACGTGTACGAGAATGATACTGCAGCTCATGCCTGCATTGAACGTGTCTGATTGGTCACGGAGAGTCATGTGATGTGCGATTGGATTCTATGGAAAGTGAGAGCGCTCGTGCTGTTTGTAGTTCTATTTTTGTTTCGCTTTGTTTGTTTCGCTTCGAATGTTTAGGTCAGTTTTTTTTAATTACCTTTATTAAGCAAGCACGCATTAAAGTAATCAAGAGTGACAATAAAGACCTTTAATAATGTTACAACAATTTTATTTCAAATAAAAACGAACTCTGTTCATCAAAGAATCCCGAAAACACAGTTAACACAGAACTGTTTTCATCAACATTGATAATAATAAGTTTAAATTGATATTTCTTGAGCAGAAAATCAGTATATCAGAATTATTTTTGACGGCGTCAGACTGGAGTAATGATGCAGAAAATTCATTTTAAAATATATTCAAAGAGTAATACTTTAAATTGCAAAAACATATCACAATCTTATGGTGTTTGCTGTATTTATCAAACAAATTCTGCCTTAGTAAATATGAGACTTAAAAAAAAAACATTAAAAAATGTTATGAACCTCAAACTTTTGAACTGTAGTGTATGCAGATAATCATTGTTAAATATGAACATATTTGCATATTACATCAAAAGTGAACTCACTGAAAATGTCAGGTTTTTCATTTTTTAATAAGCAGTTATAAGTTAATATATTTAAAATATTCAAAATATTTAATAAAATGCTTTATGTAAATCGTTTTTGCCCTTATGAGGAAAAAAAGGAAAAAATATTTTTAGAAACCCCTCAATTATCAGCAATATCACAAAATTAAAAAATGAAGGATTTCACCTATATGAAAAATGAAATAGTAGGTGTAATATATGAGCAAAACGTCACTAGAAAAACATTTGAAACATGCACACCAATTCTCATGTAAGAGGCAAAGGTGCTAAAAATTTATTTATTTTTTATTTTTTTAAATGCTTGGTAGTTGCAAAAAAAAACAAGAATAAAAACAAGACCACCAAACTTGAAACAAAACTAGTGTTTATATAAAATCAGAATACATAATTTCACATTCAACAATTAAGACCTGAATATACATGGTGAGGTGATAACAAAGAAATGTGCCAAGGCATAAATAACATCAGATCAATACTTTCGATGTGTGCTCATCACACATCTAAGGGGAATGAATAATCGTATATCTTGGAATGTGCATGTAAAATAAACTGAGTGCACATAATGAAATGGAAGTGGATAAATATTTGGTCTCTGTAGACAGTATGAAATGTGTGCTATGTTTTTATTCATAGCGGACATAAGGCTCAACCCAGTTTCTCAGCTAGACTTTTGTCGGCCTGCATGAGGTTCATTACGATAACCACGCCACGATGCCGCAGGTCCTGATTTTCGCTGAGCAGCAGAGCCTGGAAGATCTCCAGCCAGTGGCTTGTCTACAGAAAAGTAAGCAGACTTAGATAAAGAATGTGAGAATTTCTTAATCTTGTAAGACTCAAATGGGTACTCACTGTGCCAGGAATACATGTACACAGCTCGGGCATCTCTCTGGTCAGCACGGCCAGCGTGCCTGACGCGGCCTTCCTCAGTCGCTCATCATCTTCACCACTGTAGAGCACCAGCAACTTGAGACGGTCACTGTCTGTAGCCAGATAAAACTTCTGCACCTGATGCATCAAAGAAAACCACTAAAGCATTCTTTTTCAGAAAGGATTTAGAGCAAAATCAGGTCTAAAACGGCATACTGTCATGTGACGAACCTCAGTGCTTAAGGCAAGATTGCACATACACTCCGTGGCAGCAGCACGGACCATGTCGTGATCCTCAAACATGTAGCCCTCTATTTTAGGCACGGCTTTCTCCTTAATGATCTTCTGCCTGTGGGATTGAAATGTGGTTTTGATGGTTGGGTTGTTCTGTGGCATAATGTAATAGTTTACCTAAAATGAAAATTTGCTGAAAATTCACTCACTCTCTGGTCTTCCAAGATATAGATGAGTTTGTTTCTTCATCAGAACTGATTTTAAGGACTGTAAAAAGATGGACTAATGAAGCAGAGCAGGATTTACAAGCTTGTTTTGACCTCACTGATTGGAGCGTCTTTGAAGCTGCTGCCACCGATCTGGACGAGCTCACAGAGACTGTAACATCTTATATCAGTTTCTGTGAACGAAAAGCGGTGTGCTTGTAATAAACAAATTCATCATTATGGCAGTTTCCATTTAAATTCAGTGGAGAAAGCAATATTATGGATAGAGGACTCATATTTTAGCCAGAAGCAATGGTTTTAAGTTAAACATGTCTTGATGTATTTGTTTCTTACAAACATGCAGCTTTTCACTTCACAAGACATTAACTGATGGACTGGAGTGGTGTGGATTATTGTGATGTTTTTATCAGCTGTTTGGACTCTCATTCTGACGGCACCCATTCACTGCAGAGGATCCATAGGTGAGCAAGTGATGCAATGATAAAACAAACTCATCTACATCTTGGATGGCCTGGGGCTTAGTACATTTTTAGCCAATTTTCATTTTTGGGTGAAGTATTGCGTGAAATTCATGATTAAATATGTTTTAGTTGGTGCTAGCTAACCGGAGTCTCTCACTGATGCCAGCCAGGTTGGTGAGGGCCATCAGAGCCTCAAAGTTCTGCAGCATCGTGCAGTCAAGCGCCAAAAGACTGACCAAGGGTCTCACCACCTCATAGACCTACACAATCACACAAATCATGACATTAGACATTCAATTCCTGATTGCAAACAGTGAGAAGGGTGAAATAAGGTGCTGACATACCCTCTCGCCTGGAAATGCAATCTCAGGGTTGGATGTGATGGTGATCTTGCTTTGATTTTACCTCTATCTGTGCTCTCAGAAACTAGTGGTAGCAAGGCGTCATTAAGGTTTCTGATTTTTTGAAAGAAACAGCAAGGATGCATTAAAATGATCAAAACTGACACTTAAGACATTTAGCAGATGCTTTTATCCAGTGCGACTAACAAACGATGACAATAGAAGCAATCAAACTAACAAAAGAGCAACAATATATAAATGCTGTGACAAGGTTAGTATGAAGACTGAAAATTTGCTGAAAATAAATTACATTTATGTATTAAAATGGAAAAGTTACTTTAAATTGTAATAATATTTCACAATATTAGTTTTTACTGTATTTTGATCAAATAAATGCAGTCTTGGTGAGCGTAAGAGACTTCTTTCAAAACCATTAAATAATCTTACCGACCACAAACGTTTGAATGGTAGTGTATATTAACATAATAGTGTAAAATGTTCTCATTCTGGTCCTGGCAGGATCTAAAACTCAACAGGCGAGATGACAGAATATACGTACTTTTCCTCCTCCTTGTGCCACAACTAACCCTCTGTCCTCCTGTCTCTCCACCAGAGCCAAAATCACCCTGTCAGGAAGAGGAAAAGAGACGCTTATTTCATCTGATAAAGGGGCCATTTCCTTGGATGGAGAATAACCATTCTGCACACTGAAATCCATTTTCAAACAATCTCCCCTGATGGAACAAATTGATCCAAGGCTTAATCTGAATTTGAGACAGTAGTGGTGCCAGCAGTGGGAAAGGGCCAAAACTGGAGTG